CTGCTGAGGTCCTCTATCTCTTCCATAGCCCTGTGTTGGCTGGTATGGTTGAGGATTTGGATTACCTTGAAGCCTTACTCGGCACTGAAGAGATGAATGCCCATTTTAGCCACAAGTAGTGCACCAAACCCCTGAGTTATGATTACCAGACTCTATCCGAGGAGGTGGGATGTTTGAATTTTGATTCTTTACCATGAATGCCATCTGCTCAGTTAAGGCTTAGATCTGCTTCATTATGGAGTCTTAAAAACCTTCTTGTCCGGCCTGTATTTTCTTCTCCAAGTCCTTCACTCTCCTCTCCAATTGTGGCTCTGGTAACGCCAATAAGGGTACCGGAGCTCTGGTGGCCGTGGGCATGACATTGTAATATTGGGCACCATTGTCGATTATTGGAGGTGTACTTGACGTGCTTGATCCTACCGCTTGGCTTACGGGATTAATTGGAATAAACCTCGGGATAGACTCATCTTCCTTCCTCCAATGCCTTTCATAACTTCTCTCGATTAAATCTACAATGCGCGCCGCTGTTTTGGCTTCCTCCAAAGTGGCTCAGTTTCTCTCTAATACTCTCTTGATTGTAGATCGATTAGCAAATCCTTCAATGAAGAATTACTTTAATGTATCGCCATTCAACAATCCTCCTACATAACACATGCAGACCAAGTCAAACCTCCTGATGTAGTTAGCCATTTCCTCATCTCTTTGCTGTCGTACCGCTCCTAGTGCTCTCAAGGTTGTACTTTGTCCAACCTCCGGCCTAAAGTGGTTTAAGAAGGCTACTTGCAACTGGGACCACGTGGTAAAATGTCCCTCATCATGGTCCCGGTACCAATTGTAAGCCTCACCGTGTAAGGTTCCGAGGAACCAAACCAGGTAATACCCCTCGTTCCCAATGAGGGATGTTGTCAAAATCTCTATGTACCTCTCCATGTGTAGGGTTGGATCCTCGTCCTTGGTGTTATAGAACTTGAGGAGATTCCCTGGAACTGTGGCCGCTAATAGCCTTGCTGGCATAGCCACGGGCAAACCTCGTAGCCTAACTAAGGGATTCAAAGCTGGAAGCCGCTCCGTCGCCATCTTGTGAACAAATCCTTCGACCGCAGGCACAAAGTCCAAGGTCCTATCTTGTTCTCCTATTTCCCTAAGGTTCACGTCTCCAAACACTCCGTCTTCAGGGTCTACACGTTCTATCTCTAACTCCTCCACTTCCAACTCCTCCAATAGCTCGCTGCCCCCGACGTCTCCTAAAGCCTTTTCTAAATTCCTTCTAATGTCTCCTCCAAGAAATTCTTCATTGCTTCTACTATTAATGAGTGTATTCCGAGAAGGGGCTGCTTTCTTGTTATCCACGACCTTGCCCCCACATCTTTTAATACGTTCAAGTCCTTGGTTCAAAGTAGGTTTTTGAGATCTAGTTTTCGGGAACATCTAAACGTCCTCACTGACCTTCTCTCATTACCTACCAACCCATTTTTTTTTTTTTTTTTTTTTTTTTTGAAATTTTTAAATTGATAATTAATAATCTAGCCTACCCTCATGTGGGTAGGGAATGCAAACCACCAAGATAGTATTTACGAGCGATGACATGGAATTCACCAAGGCAAACCAGCCTGCTAGTCCAATCTTAGGATACGGTACAACCTATGTTGTGGGACTTACCCGGTCAGTAAACGAGATACTGTGATTCTGCCTTCGCGGCCAGAATCCCCCTCGTTCTCAATTCAGCTCACTGCCGAGGCATTACCCACTAACAAGGCAACGACAATGACGAATTACAATCCTAAGTTAACATAGATCATTCAATGTATGATGGCTTACCTCATGCAATTCCAACTTCCTGCACAATTAGTATACCACCGGCCTCTCGATCACATGCTAAGGTTTCTAGTACAAACTACCATAGATATCTCCAGGACCCACATACCTTCTGTTGTGCTCCTTCCAATCACGACCCCATCATCTTGCTCCTATTATCTTCTTCCTCCATGTAATCAATCATGTCGACTCAAAAAAAAAATAAAAAAATAAAAAAAAAATTATTAGACAACGTCTCTAAGATCGACTCCCGGCAAACGCACCATTTATGTGAGCTAAATTCCTCCACCCTTAATTGCGTTTAGTAGTCAAGGGGATTAACTTCACTCACACGCAATTTTTATAAACCCTAAGTTCATTCATAAACCCTAAGTTCATCCATAAATCCTAAGTTCATCTAGAAACCCTAAGTTCATCCAGAAACCCTAAGTTCATCCAAAAATCCTAAGTTCATCTAAAAACCCTAAGTTCATCCATAAACCCTAAGTTCATTCATCCTAAATTTCCCTTCATCAATCATCCATCCATTAAATCTCATTCATCTTATAACATTCATTCATTCAAAGTTTGTTCATCCAATTTTCATCTAAAGATTCATTCATCCAATCATAAGTCAATTTATCATCCAACTGACAATTCGTGCAATTGACCTAATTCATCCAAGGTTCACCCTAAAAATTAAAGAAAATTGGAAGTCACCACCTTCCAAGTCATGGTAGCGACCCCCTTGCACAAATTCCACTACAATGGTTGCATTACTAACTTGTTTATAACAAGCTTTGCTATTTTAAAAAGTAGACTTACAAGCGCTTGTCCTCCAACAAATTTCAATGCAAAACAACAATCAAGCTAAGAGAAATCTTGCCTCAAAGTTGCCTAACTTTCTCGGCCTAGTCAGAGCACCCCTGGCCACAAAAATCCTTGCCCTTGCTCCATTCCAGTTGTGCAACACATATTCTTTAGCATTCCAAAAACTAGAATTGAAGCCGCATCACCTCCAACCTTTTGATTCTCAAATGTTCTTTTGAGGTCACTACAAAATCTTCTCATGGTTGCAGACTATCTCCTAAAAGCCTATTGGGCATAGCCTTCGATCAATAGGGATGAAGATCTTCATCTGTTATCTTCATCCATCCATACTTTACCTTCATCCCTCCAAATAAGCTTCTTAATAGTTTGAATCTTCAACTTTGAGCTCCAATCTTCTCTTATAACTTTATTCTAAATATCTAAATCTTACATAATTTAAACACTATAATAAATATAAATAAACCTCAAAATAATTTTTTCACATCAAAAAGTATGTGACTACAAAAAGTCCAAGTCATGACCTCATTTTGATTATGGGTATTCATTTAGAACTTCATCTCTTAGTCCATCTTAGACTCATGAGCTTTACTGAAACATATTAGCAAATAAAGAAGGAAATGAAGGGTGGATAGAGCCTGCTTATGAATCCAAATTCAAAGAAAGCATTAGGGGTCAACTATACTGAAGAGAGTATAATTTTATACCTCACCAAATTAATGGAGTGAGTATAATTTTATACCTCACCAAATTAATGGAGTGGCTAAGTTCAATGTACATTAAGTCAAAATCCAAACATAAGAGAGTCAAAAAATCAATCATAACTTTATAATTCTAAATTCTAAATCTTCAACTTTTAATTCCTAAATCTTAAATCCTAAATTTTTAGCCTTTGATTTTAAGCTCTAAATATAAATTCTAAATCCTAAATATTTAATCCTAAAATTCTAAATTCTAAACTCTAAATCTGATGTAATTTTTTATAATAGAATTTAAAAATCAAGAAAGTAATTTTTACAAAAATCTTCAAATTTTATTTTAATAATTACTAATGAATTAAAAATATATTTCTAAATATTTTTTAAATTGCAAAAATAAATCAAGACTATTCTATCATCTTTATTTTATATTATATAACAAAAAAATTAATTTAAAAAATTTTAATCCTAAATTATACATATATTATCAAAAAATCATAATTTTATTTTTTATGATTTTTTAAACTATTAATTTAAATAAAAATGTTTTTATAAATAATTTGCATATAAGATAATTTTTAGGTATTTTATTAAAAATAGATAAGAACTATAAAAAAGAAAAAATATAGATATTTGAATAGAAGCTCACAAATAGTTTTTGTTAGTATTGATAAAGTCAAAAAAATCTTCATTATTCTTTATAAATATTTATTATTTATAGATGCATATTAAAAAGTAATGTAATAAAATACTTCTTAGATTAAAACTACAAATAAATACTACATTATAAGATTTTATCTATGATTTTATTATAAATTTTTGTATAATCAACTATCTATCTAATACTTTGGAACAATGACTGTATAGTGGATTGGACAATATTTTTATTAATATAAATAATATAAAATTGGTAAATATTTTTACCAACTACAAGGACTTATACAAATAGCAAAAAAATTATTGAATGTTATTTTTTCTTCTAATTTGACTTATATTGTATTAGATTCAAATACATGGAGGAAAATTGCCAAATAGAAAAATTAAGATAAATAGAAGTAATTACCAATTATTTTAGTCTAATAAGTTTTTTCAATAATTTTTAATTTATGACTGATACTAATTGGTATTAACTACAATTAGTATAACTACACTTGCCAAATTTTTGTCTTGGATTAGATTTAATACAATTGTTGTTTATGACTAATTTAAATAGAACTATCTTCTTGTTATTTTTTTATGAACTTCTTTTAAATTAACAAAAAGTCTAATTAAAAAGATTATAAACTTTGAATCTAATATAAATTAGTGTGATTTTTTTTCTAATAGTTATTATTAATCTAAAAGATTTTTAATGGTAATAAAATTAAATAAAAAGTAAGCAATCCGCTTCAATCACAAATCCAATTATCTTCTAACTACAGCAATGTCAATTTGCAGTAATATATTAATTAAATCTAATTTAATAAAAAACAAAGACTTCATCATGTTGTTAATACTTATTAGCTGTAGTTTGGGACCTTAACAACATCAAAACACCAATTAGGTAATTACCTATCTTTCATTTGGCTATACAATTCTCTCCAATTTATGCTCTTTGTAGACTGCTTGAAATGATTTACTTCCTTTTTGGTATAACCATGCACCTTCACTTAAAATACTTGAAGACACTTAATTAAAAAGAAGATGCTTTATTTTTCAAGTATTCAATCCTTCTTGGTTGATAACATTCCCTCGACTAAAGAATCTTTTTCCATTGGGAACTTTCTTACTTAATAGTGTGGTTGGTTATAACCACTAATTGTTTTGTAATAACCTATTTGAAAACATATGCTTGGTTAGCAACCTATTGGTAGACTAAATAAAAACTAACTATCTATTTTTGAATTTAAAATAAAAATAAATTTTTTTTTTGACCTATGAACTTAAAACTACAAGATGTTTATAAGAATCTAACATGAATTTTAAGTTTTGAAGTGCAATCACTAAAAGATACAATGGAAATATTTTTTTAAATTTTATTTCAAGTTCAATTTTGGCTTTGCAACCCTTTGTCCTTCTTCCTTTAGCCCCTTGGCCTCTTCCCTTTCTCTCAACTTTGAGCTCCCAATTTGTGTGGACAAGCATGGGCAGGCACATTAAAACAAAAATAGAGTTGTCCAAGATCTATTGATGAATTTTTTAAATTACTAAGATTCTAGTCTGGGAGACATCTAATGCTAGCCCAGAATAAGCACATCTATGATCCAAAATTCACCCATGCACCACAACAATTTCACCAATCAGTAACATTCAATGGTCAGTCGCACAGTTAACAGCCAAAACTCTATTGGCTGCTGCAGGTCTAGATTGGATCAGCATGACATGCATTTATTTGTGATGAGACCTTGCCTTGTATAGTTGTTGCTTCACTGTATATTAGTTGAAATCAAAGAATAAAACCCTATTAAATGATGCCTTGGATGTGTGCAATCTGTGTGGATACATTTAGGTAGCAGTTGTTCTATCAGAGGACTTCAGTTAAGTGGACAATATACTGATATTCCACCCATTGTGCTCCAGAGCAGGCTAGTGTTGCATCAGGCAACAGTATTGCTGGAGAAGCCATTGACCTTATCAGTAGACATTTGTGGAGGCATGTTCCCACGATTGGACCCTCTGAATCATTTGAAGAAATACAGAGGAGGCTTTGATGTCACCAACATGCACTACTGGAGTGTAAGTTTTTCAAGGCAAAGACTTCTTTCTGTGACAACATTGCAGTTGTCACCTTGCAACAATTCTAGGAATAATCACATGAACTTCCTCTGCTCATGATCCCTTGACCTTTGCATTGTGCCTTCAAAAACAACAAGGTCTAAATGATGCTTTCTCTGTGATGATCAGTTTATTTCCAAGTAGCTTGTCCACAAATAAGATTTTCAGAAGAATTTTACACCACTTCTCTTCTCCACAACCAATCATTCAACATCCCAAAGCAACTCTGACTTGATGTCACCATCAAATTTCCTGCTCCCAAACCTCTGTGATCACTGAGAGGAAATTTTTCTGTGTATGAAAGGAGACCAGTAAAAGATGAATATAGTTAGCAGCATGTCTTGTATTTGTGCTGTGTGAAAGTTTAGGTTAATTTAAAGCCCCATTTAAATCTATTTTCATAAGGTGCTCTTGCTGGTGGATGATTATATTCTCATTGCATTGAATAGCTCCATAATCAACTTGCTCTCATGCAATGTTCCTGTTTCCAATCTGCAATATTTTCTTCTGAATTTGGAAATCCAGTGGTGTGAAAAAATACTATTGGAGGGGGTTGCAATCCTTTTATGTTCAATTTGGAAACTTCACTCTCATAAAATGGTTTCATGGGCTTTGTTGTGGAGTAAACAGTCTCTTGCCTACACAGGAATCTGGGGCTACATAATTGCTGCTTCTTGCCTCATATTTGGAGTTGGGTCAGTCATATGGCAGCACTACAACTGGCGTTATGAGTTGAAGAAAACCACTTTCAATCCTTCTTTGGATAAGCTTCACAGTGTATCTGTGTACTGCATGATACAATTCAGCATACTCCTTTTGTCAGCTTCATCCCACTTCTGGCAGTTATTTCTGTTTCAATTTTGTCATGTAGAAATATGTTTTTTTTTTCCTTTTGTTTCATTTAATGTTTTAACCTGAAAGCAAGGAAGCAATTTGGAATAATATTGATAAATTCAAAATAATTTGAAGTAATCAAAATGTATACCACACTTCAGAGCCATGCAACTGTAGCCATAAAACTAGTAGAAACTGGAAGACTTAAAAAATGCAGATGCTTTGCAGAGGAGCCAGTGGTGTAATATTGTGGGAAAATGATAGGCTTGTCCATGAACTAAAGAAAACTGGAGGGATCTTGGTTAGCACTGTGGACCAAGTCACTGTATGCACATTGCAAAACCCTTACATCAAAGGCAAATTGTATATATTTTACTGGATGATAATTTGAAATCTCCTTATTTCTTCCTACACTTTTCCAGTATTTTGCTAAAAAAACATGTTAAATATTTACACTTTCTTTTTTCTTTTTATTCATTTCCACAGATGTAAGTGATAACTTAAATAGCTTTGTGATGGCTCTTCACAATTATCCCAAATAGAATGGCTTACATTTTTATGTAACTCTTGAGGGTTTTGCAGTTGCAAGTTGATGGAGCTATTAACATGATTCCCTTATCCAACATCAGTCCCATGGCAAATCAGGATATGGCAAAGAGTACCCTCTCTGCCTGTAATAACCTTGGTGACACATTCAGAAATCTTACACAAAATGTTAAATCACACATGTCTCATGCCTACAAAATTTTTGACATTGTGTAAGTATCAAAGGTTCCATCCCCATTTCAAGTAATGAAACGTGTAAATGTAATAAATTGAAAAATAGGAAAAAACTCAACAAAAAATAATATTAAATTTGAAATGCAATAGCTTGCTCATACCTTTGAGGCAACAGATCAACTGCAAACTAACTAAATAAATATTCAAAATTGTTAATTGAGGATGTTTTGTTGATGTGTGCAGAAATATAGTTGTGTCTATGGTTGCGTCTCTGATGATTTTGATGGTGATAATTGGCATTGGTAGACAACTCTTTCTGTTTTCTTTTTTCTTTTTTCATTTTCCCCTTTATCTTGTTTTTATTTTTTTGTGAAAATACTATTTTTAAACAGCACACTGCAAATTGCAAAGGTTTTCTATGGGTTTGAGTCATCCATAATCAAAAATAAAATTACATTCAGAAAAAACAGAGTTTAAATTTTAAAAGTAAATGGTATTTTCCTGCACAATTCCAGCATGAATGTTTTGAAAATCTCAAAACAGGAATTAAAACTAATAATCAAAAATATTTTGGTAAAACCAAATTTATGCATCTTCCATTTAAATATTAAATAACGTTCCATTCCTAAAGCTGTTGTTTTTATATGTGTGTGAATATATTTTTAAATAACAATTGGTGTTTTCAAAGTCAAATTAAAAATATTTCAAAACTTTAAATTTTAAATCAATGAAAAAAACTCAGCATTAAGGTTTAATTATTTTCTTCTCCTTTTTCTTCTTCTTCTCCTTGTCCCTCTTCATCTTCTTCCTTCTTGGCCTTTTTGTTTTTTTTTGTTTTTTTTTTTTTTTTTTTTCTTTTCTTTTGGCTCTTTTTCTTATCTTTCTTTCCACTCCCTTCTCCCTTGATTTTTCTTTCCACTACTAATCATCAATAAGCCACTAACATTAATGTCTATAACTAACTTATTATAACAAAACATAATCAAAATCTTCATTTTTTTTAGATTTTTTTAGTTTAACCAACAATGTGAACCAACTTTTGGGCTCACAATAAGATTCTTGAAACTAGACTAAAAGCAAGAAAGGAGTTGACAAGAGTGTAAGGCCTCACTCTTGCCTCTATATATACTACTTAATTAAAAACTATGTGTTGATATACTATAGGACCTCTTATATGCATCCAACTTGCAAGACACATGTCTAATTTGTAAGGCAAGTTTCTTAGGAGTATGTTGTCATATTATAATTACTTATTATATATAAAAATTAGTTAGATATATAATATGTTAATAAGTATTAGTGTATGTTAGAATAGTTAATAGATTAATTTAAAAAAATTTGATTTAAGAAACTTTATTTTGAGTTTTATCTTTTTTGATTATAACATTTAAAAAAAATTGTAGAACCTAAATATTTAGTATGAAGCCTTGAGAGGAGATTAGAGCCTAAAGATGAAAATCTTAACTAATAGGAGGCTTATTAGGAGGGATGAAAGTAAGGCATGGTTGGATGAAGGCAAGGAATGGGGATCTTCATTCCTATTAGTCGAAGGCCATGCCTAATGGACTTCAAGGAGGCTGTCCAAAGCCTTATTAGAGATTAGGGTTTTTTTTGAGATCAATCGAGCTTTTAAGGCTAAAATAAGTAAGTTTAGATTTTAGATACGGATTGGCTGCAAATTTTGTGTAATTTGGAGTTTTTATGAAGGAATTAGTGGCGCTCAAAGTGAAGGTGTAAATTTCATATCCACTGACATTCTTTGGGGCATAACTTATGTTTACAAAGAGCAACAAAGGATCGGCAAGTAAGGTTGCATAGACCAATTTTTTAAATACACTTTTCATATATTATTTGATGAATTTGAAGTTTGAATAAAAAAATGATAGAGAGTTGAAGTTAGCACATTCAAATCAAAGGCAGTAAGTGATTTTATTCATAGTAATGGTTGGAGCTATATCTTGAGTTTCTGAACAAATTTTTGGCTCAAATCTTTTGAAGAAGGTAGATTATTATATTAAAAAGATATACATCTAAATGTTGTGGCATTTGAGTGCTTAGTTTGTGAGACATGAAGAAAATTGTGCATTGGTGTATAAAAACTAGGGTTTGAAGCTACTATTAGGGTTTTGGTTATATCTTAAGTTCCGCAATGAATTTGTAGTTGAAATTTTTTGTGGTAGTTTTTAAAAGTACATCACTACTTTGTATAAAATTTGAGTATATTTGAATAGTCTGATTAGAAGATATGAGTTGTTGAAGTTCAAGAATAATACTCAACAAGGATATATAAGAATTTAGAGTTTTTTTAATCATAATTTGGATGTTTTTGGAAACTTTAGACTTATATATTTGATATAATTGCTTCTAAAAGTGTTATACATATATACAAACTTGATCTTTCTTATCTCAAGACTTGATTGAGTAATTAGTGGCAATCAAGAGCCTAATATTTCTTGAAGCTTAACTCTCTCTACCCAGATAGAACCATATGTCTAACTTGTACCACAAGTAATCAACATGTTGACACGTGGCCTCCTTCTTGGCCAAGCTTTTAACCTACTAATTACCTATAGACATGTTTAAAGGCAAAGCTGTTGAAGAACAGCAAGTACTTGCTTAGTTACAATCACATAAAGTTTAAGCATAGTATGTTGCTAACAGTAAAAAAGCAGCTAAGAGATAAAGTAAGTTATTGTATTAGTACTGAGGCTTTAGTAAGATGAGGTAGAAATAGATGTAATATCAAATGGATGGAAGTTGCCTCGTTGGTGCGCAAACCACCACCTATAAGTGAAGAGTATTGGAAGTAAGAATTATCTTCCTCCACACTTCTATTAGAGTACAATACTTGATGATGCTAAGTGTTTGTAGCCTTTAGACTTCTTTTTCTTCAATAGGTTATCGGCCCACTCACATTTGCTTGAGTATCTTTTGAAGTCTTTGAAGTATTTTATTTTATAAGTGTGAAGTAAATCAAGTTTTTGTTGCTCATGTTAGGCATTAAAAGTACCTAACTTTCAGATTCAGATCTAGATCTAGATCTTGGTTTGCTCTTACTTGTGGTTAAGAGCATTTTGGTGTTGATGGTTGATTTATCACCTAAAGGCAAACTTTGCATTGTGCTATTACTGAGATAGATCCTTGGTGACCTTACTTTATAATTTCATGTCCTAAAGTTGCTAATTGTCCTTAAAAGGCCTCTTTCGATGTAGAGAGGTGATTTGTGAATATAAGAGAGATATTTGAGTAACAATTTAGATTTGGAAAGGTCACCAGACTTGTGAGAAGTCTTAGAAGTGAAGTTGAGAGTGTTTATGAGAGTTAAAACACTAGTTTGTTCACAAAGAAGGATTCTGGGATTCTAAGGCAGCAAAACCTTTTTGCTGATTTTGGGAGCATTAGGACTTCTTCTTACAATCTTTTTTGATACAACTCTTCTTTAGACATGGCATCAAGTGAAGGTGAAGGATTGAGAGTCATTGAGAAGTTTAGAGGTGAAAATTTCTACCATTGGAAGGTCAAAATTGAGCTTTTGTTGGCATCTTTGGATCTTTGGGATATTGTAGATGAAAGTGAAGAGGCTCTAAGCAAAGATGCTGATATGAAGGAGAAGAAGGAGTTCAAACATCATGAAAAGAAGGCTTTTGGATTGATTGCAATAAATGTGGATGAAACCAACTTCTCTCACATTATCTGTTACAAAGGACCAACACAAGCATGGAAGACTCTTTGCAACATCTATAAGAGCAAGAACTTATCCAACATCATCTATACAAGGAGAAAGTTCTTCACTTGCAAGATGGAAGAAGGTGAAAACCTCATGGCTCATGTCAATAAAGTAAAGGCTCTTGCAAACTAACTAGCAACTGTTGACAAGCCTTTAGAAGAAAGTGATATTGTCATGACCTTGCTAATGAGCCTTCCAAAATCCTACAACTACCTTATTATGGCATTGGAATCCATCAAGGTAAAAGAACTTACAATGGACTATGTGATGGCAAGACTTGCCCATGAAGTAACCAAGAAGAAAGAAAAGGAGCCCCAAAGTGAAGATTCAGCATTCTATTCACGTTAAGGTAAGTGCAATTATCCAAATCAAGTAGGTAATATCAAATCTTGTTTCATTTGTGAAAAAGTAGGCCATTTTGCTCGAAATTGCTACAAAGGCAAAAGGATGGAGAAGGAGAATGCAAATAATATACAAGATGAATTTGGAGGACAAGATTATGCATTCACGGCAACAAATAGGACTTCTATGGCTGCCATATCAAGATGGATTGTGGATTCAGATTGTTCCAAGCATATGACACCTTATATGTGTTCATTTGTCACTTATGAGGCTATTCCAACATCAAACGTGGTGTTGGCGGATAGTGGAACATGTGAAGCCATTGGAATTGGCTCTATTATGGTGGAGGTGGTTGTGAATGGACAAACCAATAGGATCAGACTCAAAAACGTCCTCCATGTGCCTAAGATGAAGCAAAACCTTCTTTCAGTGAGTAAACTTGTAATGGAAGGTTTTAAAGTTTAATTTGACATGAATGGATGTTTTGTAAGATCATTGAGTGGAGACAAGGTCTTCAAAGGCTTGAAAGACGGAAATTTGTACTACCTCATTTGTAAGAAGGTGAATGGAGTGGAAGTAGCCGCATTTGCTGAATTTACATCAAACAAAGACAAGTTGAATATATGGCATTGTTGCCTTCGCTATTTGAATGTGAAAAGCATGAGAGAGCTCAAGACCATGGTAAGTGGCTTAGATCTTGGAAATACAAGCCAAAATGCAAAACAACTTGCTTGTGAAGGATGCATATAAGGCAAACAACAAAGGGCCTCATTTCCAAGGAAGGTAGCAACACGTGCTACCAAGTTGCTGGAGATTGTCCATTCAGATGTATGTGGACCTATGAAGAACACAAGTATTGGAGGATCAAGGTATTTCCTCACTTTCATTGATGATTATTCAACAAAGATTTGGATCTACATTCTTAAAGCCAAGAGTGAATGCTTTTGGAGGTTTAAGGAGTTCAAAGTACTTGTTGAGAAACAAAGTGAATGCAAGATCAATGTGCTGTGTATAGACAATGGAGGTGAGTACATGTCTAAGCAATTTGATGTTTATTTGAAGAATGAAGGAATTGCTACACAAACCACAACTCCATACATTCCACAACAAAATGGTGTTGCTGAAAGGGTAAATTGAACCATTGTAGAAATGGCAAGGAGTATGTTATATGCTCAAAACCTTGGCTATGAATTTTGGGCGGAAGCTGTGGTGAATGCACTGTACACAAGAAATAGGTGTCCAACAAGTGCTCTTGCATCAATAATACTACAAGAAGCTTGGAGTGGGGGACAACCTTGCATTTCTCATATGAGGACCTTTGGTTGCATTGCATATGCAAAAACACCAGATTGTATGAGGTCCAAACTTGATGCAAAAGGTATAAATTGTGTGTTTCTTGGTTATTATGAAGGTATTAAGGCATATAGGCTAATGTACTTGGAATCCAAGAAGATCATCAAAAGTCATGATATGGAGTTTTTGGAGCATAAGAGTGCTTGTGAGCACTTCGAGATGTGTCCAAGTGGGAGTAATGGTGTGTTTATGGATACATCTTTGAATTTAGCAAAGACATAAGAAGATGAAGACAATAAAGATGATAAAGATGAAAAGCCAAAGAAGGTTGAAAAGATGAAGGCTCCTACAATTGAAAGGGCCAGTAATGAAAGAAA